CATATCAGACAGTTTGCCATTGATTTTCTTTGTTCACTTCTCCAAGGTGAGATGTTGTTAATGGCCTCATTCAATGTCTATTTAGACGGACTTGACAACGAAAAACCCAACAAGCTGATTGGCGATTGAAAGCGTTGCTGTTCGATAACCCGCTGGACTAAAGATGTGATTAACACAAAATGCACAGCAGAGTGAGCTATAGTCGACATAATGTCGCGCATGCACAGTGAAGCCATAAAGCAAACGTTGTAGAAGGGCCTTGCTCTTTCAAAATGTGCATCGAATGTGGGGTGGGGGTGGGGGGGGGGCAAGTAAAGGAAAAAGCAAAGCACACACGTGCAGGCTGATGTCTTACCACCTGTGACATAAACGTTCACCTCTTTTGTGAGCCAATGTGTACAAAGTAAGAAAACGAGGCACCCAGGATTGGCAAAAACGTTGTCCACCTCACCGCCCCCCGCCGCGCCCCGGCACAAAAGGGACGCACAGGGGACCCCGTCGTTTCGGGGACATTGCCTCTTTGGATTAACGTGGCACAGTCAGCGTCACATTCAAGACGGCATCCTGGCGTGTGACCCCGTGACCGCAAACGATTTCACTCGCCTTCCATCCTACCCGTAGAGTCTTTATTGGACGGTGGTCTCTGAAGGGGTCTTTGATGTTTGTCTATCTCATGTGGACTGTGTAATCCCTTTCAGAGACACTGCAAAATTGGAAAAAAACATCAACTAGAAAATTCCCCGCCGAAAAACTCGCGCAAGTCTGAAAGCCGCATTTGCTGAACAATTTGGAGCTGCTTTGATTCGGCCAAGTCATGTGGAAAGGTAACAACAAATTTTAATGCTGGGTTTTTATTTTGAAAATACAGTAAATATTAAAAAAATGAATAAATACAAAATAAGGAAATACAATTAAAATTGTGGTCAATAGAGGCATTGTGTGACATTTCCCTTCACCAATGTTGTGTACATATCAGAGATGGATTGAATATGTGGCCGCCTACACCTCTTGAAAAAAACAGGCCAGAATCCATCGGTGCACTTTGTTTTGGGCAAACAAGACTGCAGTAGCCACCGGGTACAGAGTGTCAACGGCTCATCGAGCCATGAAACACCAATACGCTCATCCAATACAGTATATAGCCCTTCTTGTAACAGCTGCACAGTTAACAGGCGCACTGACATGCTAATCTGTTAGCCGAGAGTTTGGTCCCGATGCGCAAATGCGCCAGACACATTCACCATCTGGTCTACGGCCAGTTCTGTGGAACGATTCTTTATTGCATTAATATAAAAAATAAAAGGTGTTTTATTTCACATTTTACATTCTGCATATCTTTTAAACCCTTTCATGCACCAACAATGATAACCTGTAACCCGATAACATGATAAGCTGTCCACTGTAGTAACCGCTGTCCCCAAAAGGGGTTAAATTGTTTATAAAATAGACATCTATCGGATCACATTACATATTTTATTCATGTATTTTGTGATAGTAAAGACTATGCGTGTGCATGGGTGTTCAAATTTGTTGACACTTCCAATTACAAAAAAATATGTCAAACACATCATATAATACGGCTCTTAATGACGTCCATAACTTACCTTGTTGGCAGCACATGCCCAACCGAACTGTAATAAAACAGTGAAACCTTAAGATTGATCTATGGGCCCGTTTGTTTAAATAGAAAAATCTCTAAGCATACATTAAGTCCACATGAGTCCAGCCACATCAGTGGAGCGCTACCAGGGGTTCAAGGTTCATGGTGCAGTCATTACCGAGCATGCCTTGCAACCAATACGACAATTCAATTCACCTATCTGGTGTGATAAGCTGCTGAAATAAATAAATAGATGTACTTTTATATTTTAAGAATTTTCAAAAGGGTTTTTTAAAAGCCCCTCCATCCTCAAACCGGCCCGGCCTGTGAACTCCTACCCGTGTTGGGGTGACAATCCTCGGGTTGGGCGGGGGTCCCTCGGGTGCAGGCTGGAAGAAGTGAGTTTCCTCCGTGAGCGTGTCTGGCTACGTCGAGGATACAGGCGAGCGCTCTTATAGGGATAAGCCACCCCTTCCCCACCCACCCTTCGCCATCACTTGCCACCAATCACCCTCCTCTGCCGGTTCGCTCTCTCGCCTCCTCGAAACCCCTCACAGAGGGAAATAAGGATGAGAATCCAGCCACACGCACACGTACCAATGATTGCCGTGTTACAAAAAAAAAAAGCTGTAAATCCGAATATAGCGCCGCTTTAAATGCCAATTCAAGGCGGTGTGGCGTTTATCTCAAACAACTCATTTATTGTTGAAACTTGATGATTTTGCTCTCCTGTGAATCACTGAACAAATCCTTAGCGGAATAAGCCCTGCCTCTGAGAGCCTCTTCACAGCTACCTTTTTCAATACAAATTAAAATGTTGACTGTTGAAGCTCTATTTTGGTAGATATGGGCAACGTTTCACATCATGAACAGACCACACAACGAAACTCACTGACCTTAAATTGAATTTTATGAACACTGTCTCCAAGAACCACTTTAATTTTAAATATCCAAAAAATCCAAAACAAGAACGAACATCAACCAAAGGAGTGTATCTGTAATAGGTGTTAATCTGTGGAATAATTTTGTTCCAAGAACCACTTTAATTTTAAATATCCAAAAAAAGAACGAACATCAACCAAAGGAGCGTATCTGTAATAGGTGTTAATCTGTGGAATAATTTTGAAACAGACCTGAAAATGAGTAAATCGCTTGCTGAGTTCAAAAAACAAATTCAAGAGGATAGTCCAAAAAAACGACATCAATTAGAGTTAAGGTGATAAATTCGAAACATTCATTAAATAGAATAATAAATCAGAATTAAGTTGATCAATGTAGTCATGTAATGCAATATCCATTATGAATACAAGGTGAAAATCGACATATAAAAGTGCTCGAGCGTGTATGTATATAATCCCTGTACAAACCAAAGTTGTAAAAATAGATAAATATAGCACAGATAAGGGTAAAAGCATTTGTTTATATGCAGACTTTTCCTTTTCTTTTGTGATTGAGAAAATCGACATATAAAAGTGCTAGAGCATGTATGTATATAATCCCTGTACAAACCAAAAGTTGTAAAAATAGATAAGTAGAGCACAGGTAAGGATAAAAGCATTTGTTTATATGCAGACTTTTCCTTTTCTTTTGTGATTGATATAAAAAAATTATCTATTTATACATTAATACAAAACATGGGGTCAGACTAGGTAAGTTTTTTACTTCTTCCTACTCCTTTGAAAATATAATAATTGTGCTGTATGATGCCTGTTTTCTTTTCCTATTTATACTGTTTTACCTTTACTTGCTGTCAATTTATTGCTGTATATGTTTTTATGTTCAATAAACAATAAACAAACAAACAAACAAAAAACTGTGTTGGACACATTTGACATTTAATCCGTGAACATAAAGACGGTGAAAGATGTAGCTTGAATAACATGGATTACATGAATATTATTGTTTGTGAAGACAGCTAAAATGAATAATTGCTGTCATTTACTGTTTAGATATCGGCCATTTCCTCAGGGGGAATCTTAACGAGTTTTTAATTAATGACGTTGAATCGTTTATGAGAGGCCAATCCAGTTCCCCGATCAGAGACAAGCGCATGAGACATGTTCCTCGTCAAAACTCTGTCACAGCTTTGATGATGGCGACAATTTTCCTAATTAGCAATAAGATAACTGGAGTCAGGTACACGATGCCAAGAATTATTATTTTTTCCTCAATTTATCTCTATTATTTGGTTTTGGACGGTTTGGTAATCCTACCAAATTATCCAATCCGATGGAGTTTTCATCTTTTATTTTGAATTTATAAAGAATGAAAGAACAATCTAAACAACACGAAAATTCACCAAAATTTGTAAGCACACGATACATTTGCATTCGTGATGTATCAAAACTCTCATAAAGCCCGATACCATAAACCCCTCTCGTGCTCATCATATTCCACGATAAACATTTATTCCAGGACGCTCCTGACAAACACGTAATTGCCTGTCGTCATTTCTTCACGTTAAAATGGTGACAGTAATGAAGCGCTGCCAGCATCAACGGCAAAGAAGAGGAAGACGAGGAGCAAAAAACGAGGAAGGGGAGGACTGTCACTCCCAAACAAGATGGCGGAGGAGTGACAGCAGCGTGTCATCGTTGCTAAATAGCACAGGGCTCCTATGTTGTCACAAAGCAATAATGTGCTTTTTCTCAGAAAACTGACTTTTATATTGTAAGAGTTTAGCTTGGTTATTGAAAAAAAAACCTACAAAAAGATCGCTCAATAGTCATACTTGTTATACTGCCCAAGAAAAAAAAAGCACTGCACTCAGCATACTTTAGTTTGCATCTTCCCCAAGTTGGAAAGCTTTTCCGAGTCGACAATTTGTTAGTGAAGCTTTTTTTTTTTTTTTTGTCTTCTTTAGGGATGCCGAGGAGGTCGTGATGATGGCGAGGAGGAGGGGCCCGGGGGTTGCAGGTTGGTCAGACGGAGAGATAGATAAGCGGTCTTATCTTCTCCACGCCAGACGCCGAGGCCCCGTCCAATCCTGAGCTGCTTGAAACAATTCATCGACTTATCCACCTCAAAGACCTCCAGAGGTTCTTTGAGGTGGAGGAGGGAAGACAAAAGGTGGAGATGAAGGGGAACGTGGTGACGTCAAAAGCTTGGATGACGCTTTCCCTTTAAATGACGTATTTGTTAGCATACTGCAGCACAACGCACCCGATCGAGGCCCGTTTTCTTGGCAAACGTTCCGCATAGGAAAGCATCGTAAAACATCTTTACATTCTTTGCTATCCTTCAAAGTGTAAAAAGAAGTTAACAACTGGTACAGTGTAGTTGAATTGGTTTAGCCAGTTTTCAAATAAAAAGTATATATTGATTTTCACCAGACACAGAATCAAGTTCCTCACGTGGCCATCTTAGTCCCCAGACCTAAACCCCCATTGAAAACCTGTGAGTTGGCTCGACAAGAGAGTGCAGATGAGAGGAGCCGGGTCGCTGAATGATTTTAGAGAGATCATGCAGGGAAGAATCGTCAAAGAACCCGCATTCTGTATTTTCCCATCTTGAGGACGAGGTGCTTTTTGTTGAAAATTTTATATTGGTTTTGCTGAGAATTGTTTTTAAAATAAAAACAAAACAAAAAAAAACAATGTGCCTCAATTTCTCATAAGACTGCTTCTTGATATAAATAAATAAATAAAAACAGTTTCTGCCCAAAGAAATCCTCCTTGCAAAAAATGTGATTAAAAAGAGCCGAAAACAACGACAAAGGTTTCCTGTCAAAAGCAGAACAGTCATAGATTTATCACAATTTTTTTTTCCACAAATCTTTAACATTTTGGCTTTATTTTCCTCAATAAAAGACTTTATACTTTTTACTTTTCCTCAGATGACAATTTTCTTCAAAAAAAATATTGGTCTTAAAAAAAACCACACCTAATTTCTTCTTGAAAGTTGCGTTTTTCTGTTTTCTTGAAAAGTTACCTCACTCTGAAAGTACACATTGTTCTTGAAATTAAAAACAATAATTCTGTCACGTTTGTGAGGTGGTGGTGGACCCCAAAAAGCAGGCAGGAGGGAGGAGCAGGGTGAACTTGACGAATTGTATTTAATAAAACACAGAGAAAACTAAATCCAAAACAAAGTGCTAACAAGTTACCAAAACGAATCCAAAGTATCAAACAAAACAGTGACTGAAGCGCGCTAGAACAGAAACACGACCGAAACAAACATGACAGTAGCAAACTAACAGCAACAAACAATAACCCGACAATGAGTAGTCAGCCGGGAGTCCTTTTATAGCCACTAATTACCTAACGACCAACAGGTGTGCAGCTACAGGGAAAAGCCCCACAGTGCCACCTGTTGGTCACAAACCGAAACATGACAAATTCAAAGAGATGAAAGCTTTTTTTCTTGAAAAACTGTCCGGTTAAAAACACTCGGCTTTTTCCGCCTCAACAAAAAATTTGCTATTATTTCTTCGAGCTTTTCATTTTGAAAAAAAAGAAACCTTTTTGTTTTCTTTAAGAAACAAACTTGAGGCATGTGCAGCAGTGACAGCGAAGGAGGTCCAACTGGTTTTCGTCCACTGTTTGAGCGTGGAGCCAAGGAGGCTCTTCCAGGAAGATTAATGGCCGCGCGACGGCCGCATCGGCGACATCTCGACGTCCTGATTGAATAAACGTATCCCTCCATCGGTGACGGCCGTATAATTCAACTGAATACCCACAATTCAAAGCGGGGTCAGGGAGTCACCTGCCGGTCAATTGGGAGAGTTTTCAGTCATGATGCTAGTGCGTATTCAACATTGCTGGGAAGCGAACAACATGAAGCGCAAGTGAGAGGAAAAACGACGAATGCGCTCATGTTGGAGATGAAGGCCAAAAGGCAGGATGTCAGTGAGTCTCTGCAGGTAGTCGCCGGAATCTTAAAATGGTCAAAGTCACATTTGACCACAATACATGACTGATAAATGGAGAGACAGATTCTGGTCAGGTCTCAGACTGTTTCTAAGGTCATGTGGGACTTTTAACACTCACTTGTTCAGAAGATGACCTTGTTTTTTTCCCCATTTTGCTTAGCTTATTTGTGAAGTCGGGTTCAGGGAACTCAACTCAACTCGACTCAAATGTATTTATAGAGCACTTTCAAAAGGGAAGCAGTGACTTTAGCAGGAAAACCTACCTCACTCTCCCAACTTGCAGGGTTCGAATAGTTTTGAGATTTTTATTATAGTTAGCTTTTATTTCATGTTGACTTAAAAAAAAAAAAAGAATTAGTTTTAATTGTTTTTAGAGCAACTTTGTTTGCTTATGTATGTTTTTATTGTTTTATTTGGTCATTGGTTTTGTTTTTATTAGTTTTAGTATTACTTTGAGGTTTTTTTTTAATATGTAGACTAGAGTGTTTGCCAAGTGCAAGATTTAAAAAAAATAAATAAATAAGTAAACTACAATTCTCAAC